CTTAAGCCTAGAGCCGCCACTGGCTTACAGGTCTCCCTCCAATTAAAGACTACTTCTTGGACCAGAATTTTAGCAGCTTTGGTTTTTATTAGAATAATAAGGATATAAGCCATTTGTTATTTGGGACCACAGAAAATTGGTCTTAAATTATAGGGTTCTTTAATTTGAGCAAGACCTGTATTTCTAATTGTTACCTAATTTCTTTTTGGATTTCGTTCCTGGGATAGTAAGAGATTCAGAGGACTGCTCTGGTAGTGCCATCATCAGGGCCGTCATGGTAGAGTCATACGTCCGGTGCACATCAACAAGTTTATGAAGAGCAATGTCAGTTATTAGGTCACAGCTCACTACAAGGATGTCAGTCTGAAATGATAACAATGAGTTACAGAAGACGGATTCAAGGGGGAGGGGTTACCAAAATTTTTTTGAAATTAAAGAAAAAAAAATGAAAAAATTAATTCAAGCATAAGTTTGAGGGTGCAATTTCTAGCCATCCAGAGGTGCCATAGACAAAAACATTTCCTACCTCAGCCCCAACCATTGTGAAAGTCTGCATCTCCTCCCTCCCCCCTTCCGATTTTCCGAATTCCCTGACAGATGTTAACCTTAGTACAACATCCCATCCCACTTATCACATTATGCTGAAATAAATGTTGCACATTATATGTGCACTATGTAAATGATACCAAAAATAATAGGCAGTCATTGCAGGTAGAATATAGCACAGCAAGCACCTCTTGAGATAAAGCCTTTTAAAATGACAATGTTATTTATAATTCACCTTAATTTTGCGTTGTTCATTAAGGATCCGGAGGGAGTCTGCTGTACCCAAGTCTTCCTCACTAGACACTGTGACAAAATCCATTTTGATTTGAATTTGTGTAGATTTTAACGCCCGATAGATGGCGCCTTTTGTACTATCCAAAGTTAATATGATCACCTCTGTAAATTAAATAAATTATGATTCATATATGTAGTTCACATACAATCATGTGCATTAAGTAATTATTAGAAGAAATCAATTTCTTCACCCTTTTATTATATCATGAACTAATTGGTATATCAGGCTCAACGAAAATACAGGCAGTATGCTTGTCAACTAGTTCCATTAGAAACTACCCAATGAGTAAATTATAAAAGGTCTTTTTTCTTTTTTTTTTAGATATTTCTACAATATATTTAATTGCATGTTTTGCAAACCTGAGTGCTGGAATTATAGTGAAAATCAAAAATTAAATGTAAGGCAAGACTTTTTTTACACCTCGTTTAGTGAATCCACCGACTGAAATATTGATGATTTTGAATGACAATAAAATTAAATTTTTGGCCAATTGAAAACATCAGAAAAACGTTTTTCTTTATTTTTATTATGCCCTCTACTGCATTGAAATCTCCAAAGATAAGATATGTATATTTCTTCCTAATTATATAAATCTGAATCATTTAACCATCCTATTTTACATTCACAAATAAAATTTAATTTTTATTTTCTCCTGCACCTGGATATTTTTGGCAAAACTATTTTCTAAATAAGAAAACAAAAATTTATTTTTATTTTTATTCTGCCCTCCTCCGAATATTTCTAAAAAAATAAGTATGCAAAACAAGAAATAAAAAAAGTATCGCCTAAAAAATATGCAAATTCACCATCAAATCCTGCCTTCTCCAGCATGCTGATTGGATACCATATCATTGGTTTATTTGCAACAGGTAACAAAGCTTTTGGTAAGCTGGCTGTGAGGTCAGTCATCCGTGACCCCCGACCTGCAGCTAATATTACAGCTTGCAATTCCATAGCGTTTTAATAAACCTGCAAGACAGTAAAAAAATTGAACTTTAAAAAACTGTATCTATTATTAGGCCTATTATCATTATATTACTGTACCTTCATGTTTATATATACAGCATGAATTGTGCATTTCATCATGATTTTTTCTCTCATTGGCCAACCGAATAACTCCAGAGTGATGTATTACTATTATTGTTTGTTCAAAACCATAACATTATTATTAGCCAATATTTGCAATTAATTAAGACAACTGCTGGTACACATGCTTAATACCTGAATGTATCATTAATAAAAATAATGCTTTTCTTCTACACTTTTGTTGTTGTACACCTAAAAATTAGAATGGGAATCAATACCTGTACATACTTTGGGCGAATGCTAGTTTGAGTGGATGCAGTTAGTGCAAAATGTAACGCTGAATTTATCCAAAAAGAATGATGAGATTCCCTCCCACTCCCACCCCTATTAGATACAAAATATTAGGTCCATTTTTCATATAATTAATTTCAGTGGTGTATCTAGCCCCTGTCTCTTATACACATCTAGATGTGTATAAGAGACAGGTCTGAGGGGGTGCGTGAAGGTGAGTTTGGGGTGCTCGATAATTAAGTGAGAGGGTGTTATCTCACAAAATAAGATAGGTGATTTTTAACTACTTATTTGATTTTTTTTTGTTTCTTTATTCTAACATAAAAAAAAAAAAGACGACAAGAACAATCAGATACTGTACAGTAAAAACACAACTAAATAAAAAAGGCCTAAGGATTAACAAAGCATATAAAATCAACTAAACATTTAAGTTAAAATGATCCCTCATTTTAAAAATTTTGTTATAATTTAAGCTTTTTTTTTTTCTTTAGTGTGTAGACGGAAGTTGCATTTTGAACTGTAAATGGCAAATTATTCCATTCATTTGTCCTAATGTGAAGTGGTTTAATGTGAAGTGGTTTTGTCAACCAGATTTAGGAACTTTTACGTGAATAATGTCATTTTCACATTTTAGTGCAAGGTTACTCAATTGATTATTTTTGCTGGTACCCAATTTATTTAACACATGCCATAACTTTTTAGGACTATCTTTCTTTTCTTTTAGTTTATTCAAAAAGAAAGTAGACTTTGCTTTTCTATTCTTATATAATTTATAACATTTCTCAACTTTTTAAACACTGAGAATACAGTATATGTTCATTTTTAGTTTTTCTGAACTTTCTCAAGCATTTGTCTTGTTCAATAAATGAGACTTTAAGGGAGATATTTCTCCCTTAATAATGGTTAATAATTTTATCTTCTTATTTTATTCTACTTCAGCAAAAAAAGTTTTTTCTTCAAATATTTTGAATGGAGTAGGGAAGGGGGGGGGGGGGGGCGGAAGGGGTGTTGTGTGATACAAAACTAGGCCTAGGCCCTAGGCAGACTAAATTTGAACCTGTAGAGGGCAAACTACTATCACATTAAATACCATGTCAAAATAAGATAATTCCCCCAAGTTACATACATGTTTCAATTTTGCAAAAATGATCCTTTTTCGCTCAAAAAAATAGAATCTGCTCAAAGTAGACAAAGTGGCATTCGCTCGTATTGACTGGTTCCCAAAAATGAAAGATCTTGTAGGAACATGGCATAATTAAAACATAGCGAAAGGCCGGCCGGCCTAGAGAAGGCCTACGCTAAAAGAAAATAAAGGGCCTGGCTTAGGCCCCTACTAACTACAGGCATAGCCTAGGCTTATGTCACTGACTTAACCTTGCCTTGCTTGGACCTGGTTGATCCCTCCTTACCTAGCTAGCCTAAGGCCCTAGGCCTAGCTAGCTTTAGGGCCTCTAACACTGCATGCAGGAGATAAATCCCGTTAAACAGAATGATATCATTTGCAAATAAAATACATAAATTACATAGGTCAGTGCTTGTGCTCTACAAATCATACAAACCCGATCATAAACATACGGAACAACAGTCTATCCAGTCCATCGCTAGTGGGCCCACAGGGTTGCCAGATAGTCGAAACTCGACAGGGCTTCACGCGGCCAAACACACGCCATCTCACGGCCAAATTCGGCAAAACTTTTTTTCGATATCGGCCAAAATTCGGCCAGATTTTAATCCGATTAGAAGACAACAGTGGGTACATATTCATTAGAAATACTACAAAGATTACACGAAAATCAGCGGTCATTCGTTTGAAATTGAAGAAATTCAAATGATATACACAGAAATGTTAAACTTCAGTGTTTTTCTTCTTTTAATATCACCATTACATGCCCAGCTACATCATTTATTAAATAAATACTAAATAGCCTATGTTCTTTAGTTGCTGGCATGTAGGCCTAGGCAAATTCAAAGTTGAATCCAGAGATGTCCGAAAGGGGGAGGGGCCGGGGCCGAAAAGGGTGAGGGGCGAAAGTGGGGCCGATCGAGATAACACCATCTTCAGGAGGATTTTTTGTTTTCTAGACGCCGGAAAATAACCTCTGATGCGTTTGGGCGATCAATTATTTCCTTCTTTTTTCCCTTCTTTTTCACACCCACCCCCTCCCCCCTAAATCTGCCTCTGTTATTTAAAATCACATTATTAAGACTGATCTAAATGTATTAAATATCAAGGTACATTGTAGTCGATCTATAGCATACGGTACGGTAGTTACCAACTGTCTCGCATCGTGCGGGACGGTCCCGCATTTCAAAAAGTGATTTGGATGATTACGCATTTTGCAGAAACACATACGTGATCCATAATTTGTCATGCGTGATAACGAATCATCACGAATTCAGGGGAAATGTATTTAAAATTAAAAGAAGTTGGTTTTATTAAAAAAAATAAACGATCATTCAGTAACTTGAGTCATGTACTTATAAATTTACGTGAATATTTATTTCACTGACGCGTTAGGCCTACTAAAAAACTATCAGTAAAATGTTTAGGTCAACATAGTTCGGGTGCTCAATTACAGTGATACTCAAAATATTTTTGCTTATGTACCCGGTATTGTCAACACACACTCCCTGAAATCGTTTTAAAACAGCTTTAATGCTCAGATCGTCGAAGCACCTGGGCCACGCCCCCTCGACCCCAGCTGGGCTCCGCCTCTGGACTCCGCCCCCTCCCCCCCCGCCAAATGGTTAGTCACTCACACTCATTTCAAATCTCTCAGGTTGGTAACTATGCTATAGCAAAGATGTTAAGGGCCTGTTATTGGCAAATTCGTGGCTCTCTTTAATTAGAATGAATTAAGTTACATAGTAATAGGTAACACAAACTGGCGTTAAAACAAACCTATGAAAACTTTAATAAATACTTTTTTATGTAAACTTTCTAAATTCGCCTCTGAATGTTATTGTCGCAGTACTTAAAGCAATAAATCAACGTTGCTATCAGAATTATCTTCTTCATTCTCATATACAACCTAACTCCTGAGTAACCGAAGAATCTGCGACGCTTGCTTGAAATTGGAGGTGCCATCGGACCAGAATGATCACATCGAGCATTTATGTGGCGCTCTACATAAAGAACACTGCAGCACCAGTCCTATACAATTCAAGTGGGCAATAATAAATAAATTAAATTTATATTCAAAAGAGATTCAAAAGAGATAGAACCTCCATTAGGATTGAACATATACAAAGATACACAATAGGACCTATATGGTACAAACTTGCATTGAACTGTCTTCATAAAGCTTAAAAGAGTGTAAAC